CTCATGCTCAATCTGGGAGGGCCGAGAGAGATGCGGCGTAGACTTTTAGTCAGCGTCGTACACTCGGTCCTACTGTACGGGTCCCCGGTTTGGGCGGATACTCTTGAGGGTGCAGAGGCGGGCGGCGATCCGGACAGTTTCGGCGTACCGAACGGTGTCCGGAGTGTCGGTGGGTATCTTGTCATCACTGCTGCCCGCCGACCTGCTCGCCGAGGAGAACGCAACCGGTTCCTCGAACCTGAGGACTGGATAGCGCTCAGGCGGATGACCATGCTCCGGTGACAGACTCGCCTCTCGGAGGAAACGACGACTTGGTCCCTCATAGGACCCGATCGGCTGGACAGGTGGGTGGACCGGACTCAGGGTGAGATAACTTATCGTCTCACCCAAGTGATGATCGCTCGGCAGAGACTGATAGCGCTCTACACACCCTCTTCAGGCGCGAGGCGTGGGCACAGGAACGGGACTATTTGGAGTCTCGACTGGGGTCCAAGTTCCAAGTCGGGTCCATGGTGAACTTGATGTTGAGGAACCGGGAGGCGTGGAGGCTCGTCCAAGCGTTCGCCGAATCCTTCTTATTAAAGAAAGAAGAAGCGGAACGCCTGAGACAGAGGCAGCCACGCCGCCCGGCACATGAGGACCTGAGGCGCTGGTTTAGACCAGTGCCTTAGGTTCTCATTTTTGTGTTATGTTTTATGTCTTGTGAGTTATTTTGGCAGTCCTCCCTAACGGTTCCCACTCTGGGATCCGGTTAACGGGAGGGGGCCACACCACGTTGCAAATCAGCTCATAATTAATTTCGGGCTGATTCACAACGTGGTGGTGTGAATTATTAAGACGGCGTGAGCCGCCTTGGAGTAATGCCTCACGGCAGTTCCGGTCGTTAAAAAAAGTAAAGCATTTTTATTATCAATAGTAATAAGGAACATTGTTGTGAGTTTATAAATATACTAACTGACAATACAAAAAGTATATCTATTGATATAATTGATAATAAACAATACGTGGCAGTGATAGCAATGTCATAAAAATCCAATTAGCTACCTGTATAAGTGTTACGGGCTTAATAAGTGTTTTACAAGAAAAATATTACATCAGAATCGATGTAACAAAAATATATTAAAAATTTAATTATTAAAATCAGGAAAATTAAAAAAATATGCCTCTGGTACAAACAAAAATATTAATAAACATTATATATAAAAATTCATTATTAAAATTGACAAAAAAAAAAGATTTCTTTTAAATATGTAAACATTATTACTTTTTGTAAATGTAAACTAATATTATATTTACATAAAAATATTTTAACAACTCCTTGTAATTAAATTTAAATTATAAGTCTTCTTTTAATGGTGTTACTGTCGATAAAATAAAAGATTTTCTTTTAGATAGTAACTTTAATCAATTTTAGTCATTATTTTTGTCTAGAGGTNTTTTAATCAATTTTAGTCATTATTTTTGTCTAGAGATATCAAAATTCCATTAGTTGTAATTAAAATTTTAATAAAATGTTGTAAAACAAAAATAAGAATAAGAAAAGGATAAAGTAAGATGGAAGGAAATATTATAGGAGTATCGCAAAATAAGAATTATCCCTATTCTCGGGGTGTGTTGTTCGAGGGTCACTTGCTAACTTAAGTACGTGCATAATAAATTGGAATGTTCTTACCTTAATTATATAATCCTTTACTGATGCAATAATTTACTCGTGGAATAATAAAGAAAACATGAATTGAAATAACTGATTTGTATATAATGTCTTCGACTATTTTATTATTAAAAAACACATGATACAGTAATAGTAAAGGAAACAAACAAAATCAAAAAAAATACAAAACTGGTTTAAAAGGCGAAAGAGAGCCGGACGATGATCGCGACGTGTTCGTATATCGGTTGGATCTAGACAGGACGAGGACTATGTGCCCAGGGATATTCTTAATGTATTCCCCGGATCCCCTTCCACAGATGTGTATGATTATCGTCCAGCTCTTATTGGTTTTTACATTTTTATGTTTCTTATGATACCTTATTGATCAGGGTTTTTGTGAGTGTTGTGAAGGAGTGTTGTGTGAAAAGATATTCTGTTGTAAAAGAATAAGAAGTGAATAAGAAGAAAACAGAAGACTAAATTGTTTATGTGTGATACGATCACATTTGCATGTGCCCATATCTCTGTCTCCCATAACATCGTTGTACCGTTTAATAGACATATATATATATATATATAATTAACACAGTGACATACAGCAATACTAACAGTAGTGCGGACTGCACACATAAACACTTTTTGCAATTCACGGCCAATGTGCCATATTAAGATATCCCTATCGACAGTTGACATTTTACCATCTTCGCGATCACTACTTTTGCCTGATAATTAACTTAACTTCGCTACCCCGTATATTATTGTGTGTGTGTGTGTCGCCGTCAGCTCCCTGTTGGATTATAACATCTCTAGGTGTCCAGCAGGTTGTATTATCCATTTAATATTTCAATTGCTTAATAAATATTTATTTATATCGTTGTTAACCTAAAGTGTTATATATATATATTGTAGTGCGACCCTTGGTAGTTCCTCTAAGGGAATATAAATTAAATAGGAAACTTCAGTACCTAAGGTAGATATAGCCTAGCCAGCTATCCCCCGTTGGTCCCTTAGAATACTGTCGACGGGCATTTAGNACATCGGATTAAATTTATAATTGGTTGATTTTTTAACTTATTCGAATCCATTATTGTTTGCATAATTCACATAACATAGCTATTTGAACGTAAGATTACTTCAGTTAAGATAATTTTATATTAAAAAAAAACCCAGCACAGAGGGGACGCGGCACAGTGTTTACATGGCATAGTTGGATCAAGTATAATGATATCTGACAGTGATTAAAATCATTATCAAAAAAAAAACGCTTCATTGCAAATCTTTAGATAGTGTTTAATTTTAAAAAATTGGTGGATTATTCAAAAAGCTACATGATCTGCTAGTTCCTTATTAATATCCTGATTAAGATAAAGTATGTCGAATGAAAAAGGGATTATTCCTCATTAAAAAATTATGTTGATCCATTCACTTTTCAATAAGTTATATCATTATAAAGTTAAAAATGTAAAAAATAAAATCGAGAATTTTTACACAATAATAGCATTTGGTAGCTATTTTCACCGTGAAGACAAAATTAAGACCAAAATTTTTTTTTGCATAATAGAGTACATTACATTAGCTTTAATTTAAGATATATATAAAAGTGTCAGATTTTCTGGAACACTTTCAAAATTTAAGTTAAAAATTAAAATTTTTTGTGAAAAAGTTGTTATTTTGAATACCCCCCTGTAGGCAGGTAAAAAGTCAAATTTATAAAAAAAATATACCAAATGATAGGTAAAGACATCATGCATCTATAAAAAAAAGAATTATACTGATCAATACATCTTTCAAAAAGTTATAGCATAATAAATTTAAAAATGTAAAATACAAAATCGAAAATTCACCGTGAAGATAAAATAAAGTCCGAAATTTTTTTTTTTCATAATAAAGTATATTACATTAACTTCAATTTAAGATATATATAAAAGTGTCAGATTTTCAGGAACATTTTCAAAAGTCAAGTTGAAAAAATTAATTCTTTGGGAAAAAGTTGTCTTTTAAATCCCCCCCTGTAGACAGGTAAAGGATCAGATATAAAAAAAAATAAACCAAATGAAAGGTAATGATATAATGCATTTATATAAAAAAAATTATATTTATTTGGTTATTTTTAAAAAAGTTATAGCAATTTTAAGTAAGAAAAATTGAAAAAATGTCGAATATTAGCGATTTTTAAATTTGTAATTTTTTTGGAGGTTTCCCCCATTTACGGGGAACGAGGGATTTTTTTTTCAACTTTTGAGAGTAATGTCTTCGACTAAATACGATTTGTGATCTTTTGACGTATCATTGAAAATAATTGGTTCGGTAAGAGCTGAGAAAAAGTGATAAAAGACACAAAAAAAAAAACACATCTTAGTAAAACCAATACCTTCTCAGGTTCGCATCGAGGCTAATATACGGTGTATGATCATGGATCTTTTTGTTAAAATGAAATGACTGCATATGGTTTGTCAAAAAATGTAAAGNCTGCATATGGGTTGTCAAAAAATGTAAAGTGAAGGAAAATTACACACGGATGGCACTAATGCGAATAATATTTCAGCTTCGCATCGAAGCTAATAAAGGATCTTTTAACGATAAAAGTGTGTTGAAGAGAATTTTATTTATTTTTTAAACTAATGAGTTTTAAGCTGTTAGAAAAATATAGTACTCCTTCTATCTAAAATCGTGAAACTATTTATGNATAGTAATACTTCTATTTGTCGATAATTATAAAAAATAACTGAAAACAAATTTGTATAAATACAAATTTAGTTATAAATTCAAAAAAATCGTGAAACTATTTATGAATTAACAATCAGTTTATTATTATTATTATTATTAGTTAAAATTATTAAGAATGTAGATAATCTATTAACTTTAAAATTTGTAACTGACCAATTTTTTTACTTATTTTTCCTATAATTGTTTATTATATTGTTTTTGTATTCACACAACATAGCTATTTAGATATAAAATTATTTCATACATTTATACATTTAATATACATTTATTTAATAAAGTAATGTAACAAAGAAAAATAACATAAAATTATAATAACAATAAGCTTCTAAAACGTAAGAAAATGTTAGGAAATATAAAAGCGTATATAAGAAGTTATTAAGAAAGTATATAAATTCATTAACATTAAAAATTATTTTTNTATATAAATTCATTAACATTAAAAATTATTTTTACATTATTATATATTAGGCAGTTTTTGAATTCAATCAACATAGCATTTGAACATAATTATTTTATTTAAGATAACTTTATATTAATAAATTCATTTATTTAATCAAGTATTGTAACAAAGAAAAATTAGAAACTTTATATAAGCCATTTAAGCAATATCTTTCATGAGAAATTATTGAAATAGTTGGCCGCCTATAATTTCTTCTCTGTGTCTTAGTCTTACAGAAGGCATAAGACTCGCATTAATAGGAGTTGTGTCTCCACGAGCCATTTTTTCGGCTAGCTCGACCGTAAATGGACCACAGTCATGCCCATTGGTTTGACGAGTCGTCTCACCGATTTTTAAAGTCCACGACGAAGCTGCTCCTTTTTTATCCATCTCCCAGTCAGTTAGATACTCCTTCAGTACCATAGGATAAGGACCATCATAACACTTAAGACTGTCATATGTCGTCACAGTTCTTTCGGGTACGTTTACCACAGTCAATATCCAATGTCCGCCAAGTACATTCATTGGCACAAAAAGAAACTTTAATGTATGGATATCTTTTTTTATCCATCTTCTGACAGCTGGATAACCTCCTCGAAGATATGCTGGTATGAAGTCGGTAACGACAGCATGAACTTCGCCATTGGATCTTTTCACTATCAATTTGAGATAATCATTAATTGTGTCCGAAGTGTACCAAGATTTAGGGGACTTAAACGAAGGCGCGTTATACTGATCTAGTTCATTTGTGTTCGGATCATGCGTCACTTCTACAAGAGTTAAAAACTTCTCATAAATTACTTAAGCTAGCTAAATGGTTTAATATGAGTAAAATTATTCCTAGGTTTTGAAATATAAGATTAAACATAGTTAAATCAATAAAATAAAATAATTTTACTTTACCTATTTCTTTCTTTGGTATTTCATCAATTTTGACAACGGACACGGCAGGCAACACGTCATTCATATTTGAAGGCGAAACCTCAGAACTAACTTTAAACTCTAAAAAATGAATGTATAAAAATAATGCTTAATTGTTACAATAAACTTATGAAAGGTCAAATTTTTAAAATAGAATTATTGTCTACTTTTTATGATTTTCTCATCTTTTTCGGATGATTTTCTCTTTAAATTTGGGTTTTCAGAAGAGGATAACTCTTGTAGTTGTTCTTTTGCTCCACATTTTGTGGGTTCTAAATGAGTTATTTTTTCTTCTGCAGTTTCTTTTACTTTATCAGTAGACACTTTTGGTAATGTAACGTCATTTGACGTTGTGGCATGCAAAAGTTCAGAACTAATTTTTGCCTCTAAAAGTATTTATGTTTTAAAATATAAGAAATTAATTTCAATAAACAGAATATGCAAGTTAATGTTTATAAAAAAAATTATTGTGTACTTTTTATAATTTTCTCATCTTTATCGGATGACTTTCTTTTTAAATCTGAACTTTCAGAAGAGGATATCTCTAGGAGTTGCTTATGTACTTCATATTTTGCGGGTTCTAAATGAGTTATTTTCTCTTCTAGTGTTTCTTTTACTCTATCAGTAGACACTTCAGGTATTGTAACGTCATTTGAAGGTTCATTATTAGCTTCTAATTCTTTAAGTATTAAGAGTTTAAAGTATAAAATAATTGTTTCAATAATCGAAATGTAGTTTAAATTTTTTTATGTACTTTTAATGACTTCATCATGTTCTTCGGATAAGTTACTTTCTATATTAGGGCCACCATTATCATTGGTAGATATTTCTACGGGGTGCTTTTTTTCATCGCATTTGTTGCGATGCAAATGATTCTTATGAAAACTCTTAATGAATCATAAGAACATATTAAATTATAGGATAAATTTTAGTTAATTTATTTAAAAAATCTACCTTAAGTCAAAAGATATGTTTAGGCTACTAATATAATTTTTGAATATAAAACAATGCAGAAAAAAATTTACTTTTCCTAATAAATATGCTGGTATTTTTGGTGCTTTGTCATTTA